GCTAGCGAGCTTGAATGGTTTCGAAGTGTTCTTCGAAAGAGCGTGAGCGTGCCCTATCTCTGCTAGAGAACCTGAATGGTACCGAAGTGTTCTTCGGGAGAGGGTAAGCTTACCCTCTCTCTGCTAGCGGGCCTATATGGTTCCGAAGTGTTCTTCGAAATAGCGTAAGTTTCCCCGACTTGTTTTGTGCGAGATGTGACTAACTAATTTATTAATATAAAAAGATGTACCTTGTAAACTGCTGACAATGTGTGGTGATTGCTGCGTAATTAGTGTCCCCTTTGATTACTATTCCATTGGCTTCACTGTAATCACTATCTAATCTGCCGATTTCCTTTTAATAATGCACGCGTGTATTCTTAACTATGCTGCCGAATGTATGGCCATGTGTCGTCGTCACAGTATACTAAAACACTGAGCGGCAATTACACTTGAGTGAGCGCAAAGTGGTATTGCAATGAGCGTCGCCACATGGCGACCTCCTCTTAAATATGCATGCAGCGGATGCAACGCCGGCAACAGTGCCGCTGCGAGTCTTTTCCAGAAAATTCCTTGTGGCGTTAGAAAATGAAGCTTCTAGACGTTTCGTAGGCGTTTTTTCTTTGTGAGATCTGATAGTATATTAGATTTCATGTCGTAAAATTTGCTCGGACTTGTCGAGTTTTGTATATAAACATTCGCCCGAGTGCGCGTGCCGGTCTAGACGCGCAAGCCGTACGCCGCACAGCGCGTATGACCTACTTTTTCTGAAATTCATGGAACTGCATCAATCCCGAACACTGATACTCTTTCAGAATCTACGTCTTCTTGGCAGTGAACAACAAGAACGTTTAACTGCATCGAAAAATCATGAGCACGTTTTCAGGTAAGCTAGAATAAATAAATTAACTATTCACGAGTATTTTTCAGATGTATCGACCTTCTCGAATGTTCAACGACCGTGGGAAGTCGTGGCAAGAAAACTGTTCCTTTTATAATAAAAGATACTTTCCCTGTTGATGAGGTACTTGAATGCTTGGATAATTTGACAGCGTGTTCCCTATATGTGGCTCTGGTAATAGCGCCCACTTCGACGCGTGCTTCCTTTAACTATTCAAGCGATAGCTTGATTAGCTGTCAACAATGGATTGATGTTGCTATGCAGAGACCAGATAAACGTTGTAGGACGTTTGAAAGTAAAGCTTTAGAATGTTCAAGAATTCTCGAAATCAAATGTTACAAAAATTCAAAAGCTGTAAGGATTCTAAATTTCCGAGTGTTCAAAAAATAATTCCACTAATCTGACTCGTCAGCCAAACGTGCAAAATCAACTTAGAACAAAAAAAAACACTAGATGTTGTTTGGAAAATGCTGGACGAGTAAAGGGTTAATACACTGATTCGATAATTAACACATATCATTATTACTGCTATTTATTCTATTTATTTCACTTTATTTCCATGTTGGAATTATTAACCATGGTGAAATTACAAATGACCTTTATATTTCTTAATACACTTGTGGCGTTGAGATATATCCTTTAGTAGAGGATAATCAATTTCTTATTCTCTGCATATACTGATGAAATTGTGATTTACTGTAAAAAGATATAGGTTATAATCTATTGAATATTGTCACTTTGGAGGTTATGATCGTTGTAGTGCTCTGATCGAACACGACAATCTTGTTGTGATTCAACACAACACGTGTGCAGTTGCTTCTAAATAATGGGTCATGTAAGAGCCTAAAATAGAGGTTATGCTGAGCTGTGCGCCACCTGTGGTGTCAACAATTGATCGTTGCTGCGATGTGCTCTTACAGTGTGGCGCAAATTGCTGTTCGTTGGAGGAAATGAAAAGCCACTGTGGCGTCTATAGCTGGTCTTGTTTTTCGAGTATGCCTGGGAAGCTTCAGTAGTCGGACCTTTAGCCGTCTGTTTTCAAAGTAAAGCCGAGAGATCAAGAATCAGTACTAGCAGTAAAAACTTACTAGCAGTGTAGCGTGATTCTTCCACAGTACTAGCGGTAAGGACTTACTTGCAATGTATCGTGAATTTTCCAGTCTCTCTTCGTTGGCTTGATGTGAAGTTCTCTTTCAATAATTCCAGCTCTTAAGTTCCTTCCTTGTCTCCAAGTGAGATTACAAGTGGTCTGGTCCTATGCAATCTAACTTTGATGAGATCAATTTCAACTGAATACTAATTCACAATCCTAGAAAGAATTTCTATTAGACTCAGCTGACGACTTGTCTCTCTGGTCTTCCTCCGCGAGAGTAAGTCGTGACTTATCCTTCAATCATGAGAAGAATAGGAATAGAATAAGCATTGGTACATTACATTGCCCGTCTTAAATAGTTCACTGACCCAGTTCCACTTGGGATCTCTTCTTCTATCAATTATCCAATCAGGGGTTGACCTTGGGCAGCACAATGGATTATGCACGCCTTCATTTCCATTTCCTTCCGGGCTCAGTCCCGAATATGCTAATCGGGAAAGTGTCGGAAAGTGGGGAGCTTTTACTCCTGGTCGCCTCTCCCTTCTCTGGGACTTGGCTAGCCGAAGGGTCTTCCTGGGCGTGGTCGATCTTGCAATGCGATCGACTAGATGCGGCATAGTTAAGAACAAGGCAAGCATTATCTTAAAAAGCCGAGTGCGCACGTGCGGGGTTTTGGGTTACAGCGAAATTTAGGAAATGTTAGTACTCGATATTTTATATATATCTGATACTCTTTCAGAATCTACGTCTTCTTAGCAGTAAACAACATATTAGTTTTAATGCACCGAAAAAGCATGAGCACGTTTTTTAGATAAGCAAGAATAAATAAGCTAACTATTTACTAGAGTTTTCCAGATTTATTAACCGTCTCGAGTGTCCAGCAACCGTGGGAAGTTGTGGCAAGATAATGTTCTCGCATTCTCGAACACCGAGAGACAAAAATATTGTCAAATGTTACATTACAGAACAATTAGACATTACGTTCTTTATTTCATCTATCGGCATTCAATATTTTTAATAAAAACCGTGCTATTAAACAATAATTTATTAAAATTTATTTAAAAATAAAATTTTAAGTTATTTTTGTACTTATGAATTTAGTTTTTCATGTAATTTTATCAGTATTTGTATTTATATTTATATCTTTAAATTTAATACTAATTTATAATAAATAATAAATAAAATTTATTTAATCTACTAGATGTAATTATGTACTATACATTCTAATACGATTGATGTGAATTTTTTTTGGAATGAAAAGGTAAATAAATAATGCTGTTTGGAATTGGAGCAATTTTCCAAGACCTTCGATTTTCGGAAATTTTATAAGCCTTCTAGTTCTCGAAGTTGTAAACATTTAACTCCTGGAATTCTCGAACGTCCTACAATGTTCATGTAGTCTCCACATTGCAACGTCATTTGAATTCTTCAACCTTCCATAGCTTCGTTTCGCCGAATTCTCGAATGTTCTGCAAATCAGTCTAGAAATTTTCTGTTTCAATTTACTTATAAATTTGTTAAATAAATAAGAAATTATTTGTTATAATATTATCTAGTATAAATTTTTATTGCAATGAGAACATAAACGAGTAAATTATTTGACTTTCTTATAAATCATATATAAAAAGATATGTAGTGGTAAGAAAATCATTTCTTTATAATATTGTATTTTATTTAAGCTAAGTGTTCATTGATAAGTTTGTTGCGTTCCTTGATACATGTAACATATATCTTTAGTATAAATTATAAAAGATAAAGACTATTTAGTAAAAAAAATGGTATGCGGTATCTTAATATGTTTGACGGAATTAATAAAATGATTATGTAATTGATTTTACAAATATATATAACATTTACAAAATCACCGTCATTTTGTTTATTTAAATATTTTTAAACTTTATATTAATTATTTCCAGTATATGGTATTATTAAAATCATAAAGCTTTGAAATTTTTATTTATTTTTCATATTTTTTATACTTATTTACTTTTAGGAAAAAATCAGATTTTAGTATTGCCGGTGAAGCATATGTATATACATCAGCAACTTCCAAATCTTATAACAGTAACAAAAAAAAAAAGACGATATCAAAATCGACGAAGATAAACACAATTTCCGTATGTATTTACTCAAATCATTATTTTTATTTCATATAAAAATGGTGTTTAAATATGACCTACATGTTTTCATTAAATTATGTAACAAAAGCTTTTGGTTTTATTATGATGAAATTTCCATCGGGTATTGAAGATAAGTGCTGTGTGATGAACATAAGTAGTACTTTGCATTCAAAAATCAGTAAATATATAAACTAGAGGTACTTCTTAAAATGAATATTGTTTGGAATTCCAGCCACAGGATGGTCAGAAGACCAAGGTGGATAGATTACACCATACCACTGATTTAATGGTGGAGAAGTGGGATGAGTGAGAGGTTAATGCCTTACTTCAGTATATCTTAATTGGTTTTAGTGACTTTTATTTATGGTTATGTTACATTGGTTGTTATTGTTACCGGTGAGAATTATTGAGCTCGTCGTGATTTTCACAGTTGGCAATAACTGTAGGGCGTCGTCCGGGTGCGCAAGGCAAGACTGCTCTGTTTGTACTATAGCAATATGGATTGTGGGGAGCATCAAACAGTATCAGCGCCCTCTTCCGTGGTCTAATAAGATCAAAATCAAATAGCAAAGCCGTAAATAAATCATAAATAATGTAAACAAATACGTATACCTTACATGGATTCCCATGGACATACGTGTAGAACTTTAACTGTTGTGACTTGCACTATTTCACGTTGACTTACTCAACAAGACTTATTTGTTTCGACTTGCAGCGCTCTTTATATACAATTGTGGAGATTTTGTTTCTAGTATTAATACCGTTGGTATTACATTGTCGAAGCTATTTCGCGTATCGGTGTAGTTTCAATTCCTGGAAATTCTGTCAAATTCTCGAAAAGTAATTTTTAGTCGATTCGAGAATCTTCTATTGTTGCTATGCGGATAAGTTATAAGGCTTTAACGTTTACCAAGAATTTTCGTAGCGAATTTTTCTTATATTACAAATTAGAATGACTTTAAATTTCATGGAATAAATTTTTATTATTGGGTGCGTCAATCCTGAACAAATATAAATAAATAAAAGCAAACAAAATAATCTGTATTTCATGTATGAAAAATTTATTCAATTAGATCTAAATATATTTAAAATAGAAAAATATTGAAATATAATAACATTAAATAAATAATAAATCTGTTCGAAACTGTTTGATTTCTTGGATCGAACTGTCAATATTTCGATAGCTTTATAATAATTTGCCGCCAGCCCTAGCGGATGTTTGGGACATCGTTAATATATGGTTTATTAACAATCACATTATTGATGAGCTGAATTCACTTCTCATAGAAGAGTGTGAACTCTGTTTCTTCGCAATGATGCAATTGCTCCTTGGTAATGGTGATGATGTTATTGCTGATGTAAGATGTATAAGATGAAAGTCGTTCCGTGGCGGCTCTGTTGAGATATATCGACTATTCCATGGCGGTCCTGCTAAGGCAGACCGTGATCAGTGCCATGGCGTCTTCACTGAGAAAATTTCACTAAGAGAGCTAGGCTTGCAACGTGTGTCCTTTAAATATACGCACGACTGAATACTTATCAACAATGCATAGGTGTTGCCATGCCGAAAGTCTTGCATGACGTCAGAGTCCAAACTTTAGAACGTTCGAGAATTGTAGGAAAACAAGGCTTTACAAATTTTGTAGAATTCAAATGACGTTACTATGCAGAAACTAGATAAACATTACAGGAGGTTCGCAAGCAAAGGCTTTAATATCATTGAGAAATTTCTGAGTCAATGTTTACGATTTCGCGAGCTAGAACGATAACAATTTTCGGAATACTAAATTTCTTGTAAAGTGCTACAATCCTGAACAATAACCATTGGGGTTTTCTCAGAAATTATAACATATATATAAGAACAGTTCGCCACGAAATTCACTCACTGTATTTTTATCTAGCATCAACCATCAGTTATAACTCAGTATAATTTTAAATAATTGTTCAGATTTATTATTGCTCAATTAAAAGTCAGTCAATCAGCTATTAATTATTCACGTATCTACATACCAGATACTAATTATAATATACACATATAACGTGTCGACTACAACCTAATAATCTAATAAATTAACAGTGACGTCAAAAAATCATAGTCCTTTAAGTGTAATATTCAAAGAGCACGAGTGCAAGTGCAGTTTAAGAATGAAATTAACTAAAGTATAACACAAGCATTTATCAACATATATGTTACAACAGTGACGACTTCACGTACATATATTTAAACAGCTACTGCTTATAACAGCGACTGCTTAACATACATCTTAGAACAGCGACAGCTTTACGTACATTATAAACAGCTATAACTTACATAATATTTTAAACAAAAAACAAAATGTTCGCAAGGGTTTACGACAACCACAGATGATATTATTCATCTCAATTAAAGGAGCAATTGTTACAATGTCACTTACACGCGATACTGTTCAAAGAAGTACAGAGATTTACACCTCGTACTGCTGCAAGTAATAAAATTCATCATCACGTAAAAATCACTGAAGAAACTTCATAGACTTAAGTTACTTATAATCAACATTCATATATATCTATAACCATTAATTATAATCATATTATTGTATTTAATAAAGGGAAAACCAAGATACACTGTGTGCAGAATTGAATAATTGCGTCTGCCTCCTCCACTTGCGAGCAATCCCCCCTACCCAACATCATTGGGAGGTTTATAGTCTGATCCCAGACAATATTAAAAATCGAGTACATAATAACTTCTCGATTTGTGAATATTAAAAATTATTGGTTTGATTGATTGTAGACATGTCTAGGCACTTGGATATACAATTGTAGGCCATTATGGAACAGAAAATTAAAAAATGAAAAAAGTATAGCCTAAGAGTTATTCTAGATACGTGCTGATAAGTAAAATAAATATTTAAAATATCAGCCTTTTCTTTTTCTAGTATTTTTATTATCAAAAGATAAATGATAATTTACGCAGAAAGCAATACCATACGTCCTGAAACATATTCCAGTACTTTATAGGATATGTAAAAATATATAATTATATTTCAATAAAATTCTTTCATTAAGTTGGCGTTTTAAAACATTTAATGAAAAAATGTATACCTAGATAATTTATATTATGTATAAAAATATAAATCCATATAAAAATTAATTGAAATATACAATTACTAAGATTTATGAATAAAATTAAACACTTTTGGTTCCATATAGTAGATAATGCATAAATGAATATAGTTGATAAAGATTAATTTTTAAAATTTACATCATTCAATTTACCTGCCATTATTTCAAAACTCATTGTAGAATTATTAAATAAACATATATAATTATTATAGAGTCGCTTAAAAGCCATTTTTAATTAAATAAACTTGATTATTGACGATATGAGTTATGTCTCTAGTCTTACATAGATAAAATTATTTTTATAAAATCTGAAGATTATATGAAAAATTAATATATTTTCTTTTTTACAAAAAATAGCTAGCCGTTTTAATTAATTAAATGCAAACATTTTTAATTCTTCCAAATGAACATTGTAAATAGATATTGCTCTAAGGATGAAAATATTTCCTGTTCAAATTAGCACTTATTGAAAATTCTAATATAAAACATTATATAATATTTAATGTTTATATAGTATAGATAGGCTTTAATAATAGTAAAGAAGTTCTTGTGAATTTAATATACTTGTAAAAAATATATTATATAAACTTTCAGATATTGATCGTGATTATATGTTGAAAATACCTGATAAAACTAACATTTGTTTATCATGTCAACTAAATTTAATTAATATAAATTTATTTACTCAGATACGAAAATAATTTACAAAAGGGAACGCCAAAAAGAGAATACAATTACATAATTGTTAAAAATTTTTATTTTTATTATTAAAATGCATTAAAAATTAAAAAATTGAATATTTTTAAGCGAAAGAATTTGTATAATTAATCTAATGAATAGACAACAAATAATTAATATATAATTTGAATCATTATAATAGTATAAAAAGAATGAAAACAATTTATCATGATATATATTTGTAATATAAAATAAAAATACTGTTCATGTAGATATTAATTTAGATCTATATCTAAGATTTAACCGTAAAATCCAAAATAAAATTTAATATAATATGAACTAATATATATATATATATATATATATATATGGTTCGAATTTTAAATAAAACAGATATTTATCGAAGAATTTATGTAAGTAAAACTATAATGCCTTCTGTTAAAATTCCTAATTTTCTGTTCCTAATATAAAAATTTGTAATTATTATTTTTCAATTTTTATTTTACTTGATCTATATGCTCCTTTATATTGTTATCGATCATAAATTAAATATTATTAAATCATTAACTTTTAATATTGCAATACTTCCAATTCTTTGAATTAAGAGTTCAAGTATTATTTTCATACTTCTTATATAACATTTTTATTAAATATTATTTTCCAGTCAGATGCAAACAATTCACTGTCTTGTACTTTAATATCTGATGGCCATATGACACCTGAAGAAGTAGAAAGACATTTAGAGTCTCGCCAAAGTTATTTAGAACTGGTGCCTGAAAAAGCACCCCCTACTGTGCCAACAGAAATGTTCAGCAATGATGTATCATTAGATAAACTAGAGTAATCTCGTCAAATTTTAATAATGTATATTTTATGCATATAAAATTAATGTGTAACTGTTAGTTGTAGTTTTGGAAATAATAATAGTACCCTATCATTATTTATACACTTAATAAAACAATGATTATATTCAGTATTTTATAATATATCTTGAAAGTTTTCAAATTTCTTTAAAAATTAATGATGTAATATATATAAACAAGTTGTTATTCTATTAATGTAACTGATTTTTAATAACTAAATAATTTAAAATTTATGTTTTTGTGTGCTTTTTTATGCTTTGCAAAATTGCTATTATAGGTCAATATAGAATAGAATAATTGAAGATAAGAAACTTGCATTCAAGTCTAAAACAATCACTACTGGTAGACTGGCTGATATTTACTTTTGCAATACAATAGCTTCAAGCATTTGCACAAAACTAAAAAGAAACAATTTTCGATAAAGCACTGACAGTACAATTGTTTTTTTGTGCGAATATAAGGGATAGAATATTCTATGCAAAAAAATTCTATTAATTTAAAATAATTGATCTATTGCAAATAAAATAATTTGTATATAACATTTATTACTTTAAAATAGTAGTAAACAATTCCACAATGTTTTTACATGCTATTATAGTCATTTGTTGAAACTATATCAATAATTTCATATCAACAATATGAATCAGTAGATGAAAGTTCTTTCAGTGCCATTAATTGTTAAATTCTGTAGCCTCTGATATCATAACCCTCAATTCGATCATGAACACCTATGTATAAATATAATTGGATTTTAGTTTTATTAAATTTTTAAAAGATAAAAAATTATGCATTATATTTACAAATGTTTGAAATCAGATTATTAACATTATTTTAATATTAATACGCAGAAATTGAAAAGTTTATTTAAATTTGGTAATAACCAACAAAATCTAGATGAATTTTATAATGTTTTCAACGCTAAAACTTTAATTTTCAATAGTTTTAGGAGATATGATAAAAATCCTATTATAATAAATCTATATAATACGAAGAAATTTTAATAACATTAAAAAACAAAATTCTGGAATTGAAACTCAAAATAAAATACTTTAAGGATAAAATAATACAGAGTATAAGCCATTATTCTAATATGTCAGAAATAATTAATATGGGATAAAATAATCAACAAGAATTAAAAATGATATGATATAATGATATGAAAGAAACTACAATATGAATTGATATTCAGGCTTAAGTTTTTTAAAATCTTTAAAATATTAATTTTATAAATTTACAAAATAAATAACAAGTCTTAGCAAATTTTTTAAATTACCTTACATAGCCTTCGATTATTATATATAAAAGATTGTTCGCATATATAATTATTGGAGGAAAAATCTCATTCATGTATAATAATATTTACATGGATAACGTTTTATAATAAAATATCCTTATCAATTACTTATTAAATTGAAATTTTTTTAATTTGTACTGTAAATTGACGAATATTTGTAAATAAATCTGTATTATTAAATAATATATTTTGTTTTACAGTACAAAAAAAGAAGGAATAAAGTAAATTATTTACTTTCTTATAATGTAGATACTTAGTTTTTTTTCAAAATAAATAAGAAAGATTTTAAAACACTATGTTAATTATTATATATTTTTATTATAATCCAAACATGAAAAATTTATTTTATATACAATTATTAAAAGTTATACAAAAATTTATGTTCTCCGATATTAGTATTACAAATAAAATATTAATGTAAATATAATCATATTATTTATCTACTAATTGAAAATACGGTAATACTGATTGAAAATAAAATGCAATTACATTCATAAAAAATTTATACTTCATACCAAATCCAATATAATAAATACTAATCTTAACAATGGCGTAATTACAAGTTTGCATACATACCTAAGAACCGAAACGATTAAAGTCTAGAAGTTTTAATTTTAAATGATTTACTAATATTTTTATTTATTTTTAAGTTGCTCAACTAGAAAACTTTACTTATCCAATTAAATACCATAGGTTTGAATTTATAGTAAATTATATTTATTTTATTTTTTTTATAAATTTATAAGACCAAAATGTTTAAATGGAATTTTGTATACTTTAAAATATATTTTATAAACATAAAATTTTTAGCATTTATTTAAGAGTAAATGTATTATTAATAATATTAACGTATATTTATATTTCTTCTTGCATGATTTAAGAATTAATTTTTCTATTTGCTCCATTATAAAATTAAGTTAAAATAATTATAACACACTGTAATCAATGGATTTAAATATAAAAAATTAAGTATCAACAATATGCTCATGGACGATATCTTTCCATTAAAAATTTGTAAAAAGCATTTATCTGTTCATATTACTTTAATATCATTACCTAATAATCGAAAGTACAGTATTAAAAATATACTACAAAATTAAATGAAAATAAGATATAACATTAATAATAATATAATATTCAAAAAATATTTATATAAAAATGACAGTTAAGAAGTATTTATTTTCTAAAAATAAGAAAATGATTTTGAATAAAGTGAAAACTTAAATCTATTGAGTTTTAGGAATGATGCATAAAAATAGAGTAAATTAATTTTATAAATTATTAATAGATGAAGAGTTATAAAAAAGAATACTCAGTCAGTAAAGATTTATTGAATTTATGGACAATGAACTATACTTTTTTATGCTTTAGAAAATTATATATAAAAAAATTGAACTAATCTTTAAAGAATTCTAAAATATATATTATTACACAAGAGTATTAATAAAAACTTTAATCTGTTTCCTCCCTTATTTAAAATAGAATTTCTTATATCCAAATGTTATAGATAGTGCTTATCTTTTACGAAGATATATATTGATTTAAATATTATATTGTGGATTATAATAATTATAATAATTATAATAATGGATTATAATATATTATAATACATTGGCATAGTTAAAATATTAAAATAATTCGTCATTTCATGGCATACTAATTGTATTTTATTTGTTACGTATAATGTTTGTATTTCATCATTTTTTAATAAGATGTTATATTTTATGATATTTAAAATTGAAAAATAATATACTATTATTATTTTAAAAAATATTTTGCTTTATTTTACTTTGAATTCTTTAAAATTTATTATGATTTCGATAACGTTAAATTTTCTTATATTTCGCGCCTTTAGAAATCTCGATGAGATGGGATCTTTACACACTGCATAATGACAATGCAATAGTATTATTAATTACATGACAAAAAGTATAATTGTTATTATGTATGTGACAAGATGGAATGCATTACAGAAAATTCAATCAGGTATATTAAAAAAATATATTAAAAAAGAATGATTAAATAAAAACATAATGAATTATTCATTAATAAATTGATTTAATAATATATTAATATATAAAACAAACTATATTCTTACCCAAATTATTATTTTGTAAATTGTATTTTTAAGATTTTTAATTATGTAAAAATATAAATATGCCCTGTAAAATATAAATTTCATATTGCTAATGTTCATCAGTTAAATAGTTATAAGAAAACAAAAGGTAATTAATTTATAAAATTTTGATGAATTTCTTTAAATTTTTAAAAATATTATTTTGTATTTATATTTTGGAATTTTATGTGGTTTAGTTATAAATCTCCTATATAATACAATGTTATTTATTATACAATTTATACAATGCATTTTATACAATTTATATTTCTACAATTTATTCAATTTATTAATGTCACAATTTAACATATCAAAATTGATTTTTTAAAATGCTCGTATTTTATTAAAAAATAGTATTTTTAATATTGGTAGCTAACTTATTTCATTTTAATATACATATTAACATTAAACGTTAAATCGACTATAATGTATTATTTCTTGGACAAATTGATTTTTTTAGTTCTTAAGTATTTGTAAATTTTTGTTTAAAATAATGAAAACAGTTTATTCAAGAAATTTCATAAATAGATTTAATTTATAGTTAATTTATAATGGATTTGCAATGCAAATTGCAAGAAATTTCATATATCATAAAAATAAAATTAATTTAGTATTGAATATTGAACAATTTTTTAAAAATAAATGATTAAATTAAAGTATTAAATAATCATTAAATAGTTAGCCAAATATTGTTTTATTGTATATATTTGATTAAAATTATTTATTATTATAATTATTTTTATAATGACATATTAATTAAAATATATTTAGTAATTGAAAGTTTATTTTTATTCTTAATAGTGTTAAAAGTATGTTTTGTAAATAAATAAAATTGAGTATTATTGATATTTTTTTAAATTTTATATTTCTATAGAGTACAGATATGGAGAATATAAAGAAAATTAATTTATTTTTGAAAAATGAAATATATCTTAAAACTACTATTAACTGTTTAATAAATAAACTAGTTTTTGTTAAAAAATTAACTTTCCCATTTATAATATATTTAAAAATTTAAAATTGATTGTTAAATATACTTTAAATTATAATATTTTATTAAATTGGTAATTATTTAATTTTATATACAATGTGTATACTTTGTAGATGAATCCTTATTCTTTGAAAATAGTCATAGTAATCATTAAAATAAAGGCCAATAATTTTTTTTGATAAAAATATAATGGTTTCAATATCACAATAAATTAATATAAACTATATATATATACAAATTCTAATATTATTAATTGTATTTTATTTTTTTATAGTTATAAAAGAATAATACAATTTATTATGTTTATTTGATTTTTTATTGAGAACAATCTAAGATTTATATAATGAACAATTATAAATGTGTGTTTAATAATAATGCAAATTTTTAATGCAAATTGACCACATCCATGTTTACAATTTTTATTAGAATTTCATTCATTTCATTAATTCAGTGATATATGCGACTCTTGCAAGGCTATTAATATTCAGTGTATCCTGAAAATTATAAACTTTAAAATAAACTTTATAAAACACCAACCAGAGTTATATTGCATTGTTTAAATTTTCATTGTCAGAAACTAAAGTTTTTACTATTGTGTTATGGAATGTAATTTAAAACATTTTATGTATGAATCTATTAATTTGTGATGGTTATTTACATTATTTACATATTACATATTTACATTTACTAAAAATTGCAGTTATATCAATTAAAACCATAAAATACATTTATTTATATATAATCATCCATATATGTGCAGCTTATTACAATTTATAAGTTATTCTTCCTATTGGAAATAAAAAAATTTTCAAATTATTAATTATTGATCTAAGATTTTCCAAAATAAGAAATCTAATAGAGAAATTGAAAACACTGATGAATAACACATATAATACAAGAATCAGCTGTTTAGAATATTGATATGAATGAGAAAATTGAAGTAACGATAATTGAATTAGTTATATTAGTAAATAATTTTACATAAAAAAAATTATAAGACAGATTTTTATTAAAATTTAATGAAATGCTGAAGTTCATTGTTGAAGCTGAAATATTAGATGTAAGAAAACTTGCAATAACAGTAGTACCATACAAAAGTGAAACAATCTTATGATAGTTAATCTAGAATTTTACAATCTCATTTTCATTTAAATCTTATGTTCAAGAGCCATATTAATGTTTACGAATAAATCTATGTAAAAATAAAAATGTGTGTAAAAGATATGACTTGAATAATTAGTGATAGGATATGCTGATAAGGAACCAGATGAATTCATTTTATATAATTTCATTGTAGTGTTTCATTGTATATGAAAAATTTAGCCAAGTATCATTGAACGAATTTTTTTAGTGCGCTTCGGCGGACTAAAATATTATATGTATTTACAACAATTTTGCAAATGAAATTATAAAAAACGATTTAAGCTTTTCTATTTTGTGTGAAATGTCACCCATATATATATATATATAAATTAAATTATATTTTATGTTTTCTTATAAATAATGTACAAATTTTTTATTAAATACATTAAAATTATGTATTGATCATTTTTCTTATTTACATTCAAACATACAATAAAAATAATTTAATTTTAATTTTTACCTTTTTTTTTAAATGTTACTATTTTTTAATATTTACATACATATGATACATAGAGTATATGCTGATAACATTTTGGTCAATTTTATGTTATCAGCAAAAAAATGAAGTAGGAAAAAGATAATGTATGGGTTATTTATTACATGTGTAATAGTATTTATTAAATAAAATGTACATAATCGGTTTACGAACTTTGCACAAAAAATCAGATGAGATAAATAATTAAACCGAGCTACTAAGCAAATGTGAGATAGAAAAAGTCAATACAAGATTGCTAATATTCAAATAGAAGTAAAATTTTTTTTTAACTTTTATCATTAATGGCTGTGAATGTATATTCTTAACATTCTATTAATGTATTATTAGTGGGTTATGAATAAATTTGGAAAAAATAAAAATAGTGTATACATAATAAATAGAAAATCATTTATGTATTATACATGAGATATCATGAGATAGTATACATGAGATTCATGTTTATTTTTAATATTAAATTATGTGCAAAAAAAGCATAAAATATAATTTATAAATTAAAATATAGAATTTATTATAATATTTTTACACGTTCCTTTAACTTTGTTACAATATAACAGCTTATCAACGAACAGTATGCCTATCATCATTTAAAGCAGACAATGACTTTTACCTCTCTATTTGCATTGAACGTCACCCATTAATCACATGCAAAGCAAATAATTTAGAGCAAAATATATGCACAATATTTAAAAAGGTAGAGCATGAAAATAGCAATAAATCTAATTATGATTTACAAAGAATAATCGAATCAAAACGATTTAATTTATTAAAAAGAAGAAATTTTGAATTTCATTATGATTTTATTAAATCGACTGCTGCAAATATTGACGAAATTCGAAAAGATGAGTTCAAAAATTTAAATAATTCATCATCAGGTAATATTTAAATTTATATAATTTTAATATTAAATGATAAGGTAATAATTATACTTTGATAATTATACTTAGGAGATATAATTTTATAACGATATCAACTGATTACTATTTTTTATTTATTTAATATATTTGTTAATAAATTGCTACTACTACCAAATAATGTAGCTAATCTATTAATAACTCAATAAATTGAGCTATTTAATTTATCTAAGTGTTTATACCTGTCCCACTTTTGTATTTCGCCTTTAACTGCTTCAATTCCAAACAGTTTGTTTCATATAAAAATACAAATCTAGAACATTTCAAACTAAAATAATGATTAGTCTACTCTACTTATTTACAATGATATAGGGCTTATTTTATAGATAAATCTGTTTTTTTTTCAGTATTAAAAAGATAAATTAATCGAGAGATAATTCTTAATAGTTTAGAAATAATGTATTTGAAAGAAAACAGGTTATAAAATCGATTATGTAGAGCTAACCGAAAACGTATCATGATAGTCCTATGTAACTACACTAATAAGCAGTAAAGTCTGGAATAATGTTATATGAATATTGAAATTGAAACTCATTTAATTACTAGACTTTTACTCTCTTATCATCTTTATTAAATGCCTTGTCCACTTGGACACGCTGCTTGCAGTTAGATACTAAATGTGTGTGAAATACACGAGTATCTCCTGAGTGTGGAGAGTTTACCTACAAATGCTTTCTGCGTTGGGCATTAAGTTTGCAGTTGGATACTGAATACGTGAGATTACGCGAGTAGATCCTGAGTGGTTGACTAGCCCATCTAGTGGTGCGCTAACCTTAAATATCCACGCGGCAGCTTTGTTAGTTGACAACAGTGTACTCTCAAATTTTATTCTACTCGTACGATTTTTATTTGATTTTACTTGTTTGTGAATAAATTCTTTTTAATCCTTTGCTTGTCTTTTACTTAAACATTTTAGTTATAGAAAATTCGAACTTCATAATTAGTCGGTGCCTGCATTTTGTTCTCTGTTTTACTTCATTTTCATAGCATAATTTGCATTTTGACTTTTAAAAAAACATATAATAGTATTTTGAATTCCGTTCATTAGATGTTTCATGACACTATTTCTAGATGATTTTGAGCAAAAAATTTCCGAAATCTAAAACGACAAATTTGCGATGTAGTTTGCCAGATGCTTTATTGGCAAGGACCGTTCTTACAATCTCGAACAAATTGATTGATTTATTAGTAGTACTAGTACACAGTTAGAGCCACAATAATTACACAACTTTAAACAGATGTTAAACAAGTTAAACAAGCAAAACTAGTATATACTGAAATGAATGTTGTATAAAAAATTATTGAATGCAATCATTCAAATAATTTTTATGTTAATAAAATCACCTTGACATTACTCATTCAAATTTCATAATTAATCTAAATTCATTTAAAATCAAATTAATAACGTAATTAATAATTTATTCCATATTATTCTTCAATACTATTATTTATATTTTTATAGTTGTGGAATTAAACGAAAATATGTCTTACCCTAGAAGAAAACAAGATGAAACTTTATTTTTTGTTACAAAACAAACAACTGCATCAAATACAAAGGAATGGCTTTTACCAAAAGATGTTATCTACAAAGGTGAAACAATAAAACAGGTAATATTTCTAAATTAAATTTCTTTATATATTCAACTTGAATTTACTATATTTTTCTGACTATATAAAATATGTGATTTTCATTTTAAATTTCATTCATTAAAGAGTAAAATTCTGAAAATTAACAGTGTTTTTTCAAATTTTCTAAAATAAAATATTAACAAATATTAAAGCATTGATTTAAATATAAAAATTTTTAATTAAGAAAAATACATATTTATTATTCAATAATGCATAATTTTATTAAATTAAGTATTCGATAGTGTTTATTATAAAATTTAACATAATATTTAATCATTTAAAACTATTTTATAATTACTTTAGGAACCTAATGTTTTAATTATTAGTTTTAGTAATTAATTTAGAGGAAAATGTCTATTTATTTATAAAATGTTTAAATAGTTGTAAGTTTATAAGCTATTAAATACTTAGTCTATATATATTTAATACAACTGCCTAAATAATAATTTGTTAGTTTGTTCGTATGTAACATGAATTAATTAATTGCATTGAATTTATTTAATAATTTGCAATGATTTCCCATATAGATTATCACAATTTAAGTTAATCTATTTGAAAATAAATAATTATTCTATTTATAAAAGGTACAGCATTTTCCGTTTTAATAAATACAGATTTCTAAATATTTTGTTGATTTAATAAAATAATGTAATAATAATAATAAAATTAAAGTATTTTTTAATGATTTTAGATTAAATACAAAACTTTTGATAAATTTCTCCCATTTTCTATTTATGGTTATTAATGTGTACTGATTTCTGTATTGAAAAGAAAGTATATTAAAGATCAAATTTATCCAATTAAATTGAAATAGAATTTAAAAGTTCTATATTAAATATTTTTTGTAGGAAAAAAATTCCTATATTTATAAGATTTCTATTATAATTTGATCTAAAGTTGAATAAAAAAAATATAATCGACTTTAAAGTATAAATATTAAATGTAAATATAACCGATATAAAGTTATGAAACATTTAAATGTTTATGTATGTTCGGAATTGAAGCAGTTAAAAAGAAATACGAATTGGGAGAAGTATAAACACTTGGACATTTACGTTATAAACACAACTCAGCGATTCGGGAAATTTCACTACGCAGAATACTCGAATATTAGATTCTAATTTCGACTAGCAATGCCAATGAACTCTCCGAGGCTATACCTTGTGACGTCACCATAAGGATCGGCATAGCAACAGGCACCGGTGCGCTGCCGGCGTCGCAAGCTTCTACGTGTATATTTAAGAGCAGCGCTTGACGCGCTGCGCACTGTACGTTTAACATCGAGTCAGTCACTACATATCTGGCTCACAGTATTTTCTACGATAAATTCAGTTTAGTGTTCATTGTAATTGTATACTTAGTATTATTATTAAGTAGTGCATCTCACATCAGTGTCACTTGCGCCAGCACGAACCGCAATTAAAATTTCAGACAATCAAGAACACAAGAGAGAACTCACACCACTACAATAGAATAATTCTCAATCTCCATAGAAGCAACCAACAACGCTACAATTTTATAATTCATAAGCAGAATAAATTAATAATCGAGCTCAGAAATATTGCATTATACTTTTCTTCCATCCCTTCCATTTATGGCTTCTTTCTTCCTAATCGCTATGGCGAGAGATTAATCCACTGAACTATTGAAATAGCAGTTCGAGCCATAAAACAAAACATTAAAATTCGAACAATGTATTAAATCGAGAACTTATTCATATGTACAATTCTTGTAAAATATTAAACAAATTCAAGTAAATTATTTTATATATTTATAATAAATAATATCACTTTTTATATAAGATTTTACTTAATGTGGTTTTTAGTTTTTACAAAGTTTATATAAACATGTAATCATTTATTATTTTCATCATCAAACATGATTAATTTAATTATTAATAAATAGATTTTCAGATTACAATACAATTTTCTCATTACAATAAACATTTACAATATAGATGTCAAAAAGAAATGGAAATCTTTTATGTTTCCTATTTTGTTTTATGTAAATTTTATTTTTATTTGTTTATTTACTTATTTTTGTGGTTATAATGAGTTATAAAAAGTAATTTTAATTTAAATGTTTTTCGGAATTGAAGCATTTTCCAAGTCCTTTGGCTCTGGGAAATTTATAAGCCCTCTAGTTCTCGAATTTTGTAAACATATTTCTCAGAATTCTCTAACCTTCCAAGCTTTTCTTTCCCGAAAATCTCGAACATTCTAAAGCTTTACTCTCGAATGTCCTGCAATGTTTTCTACATAGCAACACCTATCCATTATTGCCAGCTAACTAAGCTGCCGCGTGGATATTTAAAACAAACCAACCACGAGACACGCGCTATTCAGCCAGAGTCTAAAACATGATCTAGTCACTCAAGAGTTACTCACTTAATCACGCTCTGTCAGTGAAGCCATTACAAGGAGTACACGTTCATTTCTCCAGTGTGCGACAGATAATAAGCAGTAAAGACTGCATTATAAGAAAATATTCGACTACAAGAAGCATGGTATTAAATTTGTAGGTATACCAGAAAGATATACAAGTAGTCTCTAATAGATATACCAGGAAGGTATTCAGTAGTCTGTATTGAAGGTAACTATTACACAATTCAGCCATACTCCCTTCAATTAAGTATGCACAACTGCCAATCCTTACAAGATTAGCATGGGCTGTTAATAGCATGGCATAAGCCATACTCCTTTCCAAGGAGTGTGCACAATCCATTACTGATCCTGACAACATCATCACCATCACCAAGGAACAACGACATCGTTATGATTGAACATAATTCATACCCTCCTATGAAAAGTGAAAGTCTACACACACTGTACATCTCTACAGCCCTTCCACTTAAATCTGAAAATCAAACATTTTCGAACAAATATGAATAGTTTAATTTGAAGTTGTTTTGGTTACGAATTAATAATATAATTTATTTTTTGTATTGAAATTTTAAACTCCTAATTTCCCTAACTTAAATTTAAAAAGACATATGTTTATTATCCTTTTGTAAATTTAATTTTAAGATAGCGTTAATTTTTCTGCTAATATATCACGTATTACCAATTTATTATGTTAGTATTAAGATTTAAATACTAGCTCTCGCATAACTGCTTTTCAGACATTTGTATTGATTTATTATTTAATTCATCTAATTTCAAACACACACAATAGTATATAATATTTTGAATTAAATTAATTTTGCAATAAAAAAATCTTAATAAATTTGCTTATTTAATGATGATGAATTATGTAATTAATATTTTATTATTTTAAAGCTTTATTTCAGAATATTTTATATCTGTTCGAGAATGTAAGAATACTCCCAACTCACTAGACATCTGGAAAACTCGAGATAAGAGTTCCGGAAAAAGCAAACCCTTGATTATCTAAACAAAAACAATTCATAAACACACCCGGCGATAATATACGATCAAGAGTCTAACGAAACACGTCATAAAACATGCGGCGAGAAATTCGACGCGACCACGCCATAAAGTATCTATCCACGACAAGCCATAATACTGCTGGCATAATCAAGTCATAAAAATATAAGCAAAAAACACCTCGTCTGACATCCGAAAAAGGGATATTAAAGGCAACACTGCACGCACATGCTGTTGTCAAACCCAGCTACATGTGGCTCGGATAGTGAAGCGAGAACGTGCCAAAGAAGTCCCCCTCATGGTGGGGATGCAAGTAAGAAGCGCTCTGATTGAAGCCGCCAATAATGAAAGAATCAATTCGATTGAATACGCCCAGAAAGAGGCGCTCTGGTTGGAAATGCCAAGGAGGCAATTCGTAAAGACCGCGCGGTGGCCCAGAATGCTTTTAAGAAAGACGCCGGCAAGGCGCACAAGAGAATCCGGCAAGGCTTCATCTCCAAAGGAACGCCAAATAACAAGGGTGTAGACATACACAGTAAAGGCCAATTGAGAGGCAAAGCCTAGTCACATCCAACTCATAACATGCGCAAGATAAGTGCAAATCAAATCATACACTCGCAGCAGTGCAAGACAAGAAAAAGGGAATAAGAAAACAGTGGTGCACAAAGCACAACATAAGCATAACCTATAAGGAGCTGCTCGAGGCAAAGTCAGCAAACAATACGAGGTATAGCCAAAAAAACACAAAGCATAAACTACAAGCTGCCGCACGGCACAACCTGCAGAATTCACAAGGTAAAAGTTCCATTCCTTAATAACGATGATAATAGACAATATGCCTCACAAGGTAAAGAACTGTAGAGCGACCAAGCGTACACAATCTAGAAACGCATAAGGGGCAAGTTTAGTTCCCACAAGATAGACTTACGAGGCGCCGTACGCGGCAATAACTGCAGACTAAGATAAAGTGTCACCAAGAGCACACCTGCAGGGCTTAGAAGGTAAGCAATAAGACAATAACAAGGCAAACTCAAGCTACTGCCACGTGCCACTACACTACGAGGGTTTACGACCTTGTTCTTCTATGTGTATAACTCCACCACCGCGTGCATTACATATAGAGGACCAGAAGGTTACGCCCTTCTACCTGTACATGCAACGCACATTACAACTCTGTGGCAATAGCAATACAAAACTCAAGAACCGAAGGCATTCAAACATCAACTAGATCATTATAACACAACTACTGCAATTATCGTAATAAACTACAACAAATACCAAATCTATTTATTATTGAATACATGCACTATCCTGTCCACTTGCCCACAATCCTCCCTTCCACCATCTGGAAGTTTACACCTAACTTTAGATATTTGGCCCTCCTAGTCCGGTACGCTATTTTTAGACAATATCGCACTTATTTAATCTACTATTTGAATATAAAAAATAATTATATATTACAGATCTGTTGAAATTAATGAATTTTAAATTGCTATAACTATTTGTTAAGAACATGACTAGTATTTTTCCTCGTTGATTTAACTAGTACAAATTATTGTATTTTATACTTTTTGCAGATGCAACGTAACTCACATGTTGTTAATTTTTCAATTCGCTAGTTATTAATAATGTTAAGTTTGTTGAAATATGTGAAGATCTATTCTGCATGACCCTCGTAATATGTATACATTAAGTTTTTATTTTGAAGAATGAGTTTTCAAATTTTATAATTTCCCGAAATCATTTTAATAAGAATTGATTCATTTAATTAGTTGCTTCATAAATTTATAAATCTGAACACCCATAGAATAAATAAATAGCAAATTTATGTACGTTTTAAAAGCGTTTTAAACTAATATTGTCAATAATGATTTTAAGTATCTACATGAGGATCAAATTTATAATTAATCTAGAGAATGGATAGGTATTTTATTGTAGTAGTAAATTTATTATACTTTTCCAAAAAAAATTATATAGTATTGAAACGTAAATAATTTTTTTTCTGTTTAATTCATGTCTTCATTATAGATATTTCATTATATGTTATACATATATAAGATAGGTATCTTTGTCTATAACTATTTTACAGTTCTTTAAGTACTGTTTATCATAATTTTTCTGAAAAATATTCGATGTTATAGAATGTATATCAGTTATTGATGATTAAATATGCTATATAATCATGCTATATAATATGTAAAAATTTAATAATAGATTATATATTTCTACAATACTGAGTGCTTAATTAAAAAATATATTATTTTCTAGGGTTTAAAAAGAATTTTGAGCTGTAACTGTGGTGACAATTTTATTGCCTTTATATATGGAAATTCACCTGTTGGATTTAGTACACATTATAGTGATCGTTATGAAGAACAGAAAAATATATGTGATCATAATATATTTTATTTTTTAGCAAGATACATAAGTGGTCATGTTCGAGACAATACTGAATATCAATGGTTAAATATACAAGAACTTGAACAAATTTTACCAAAATCAACTTATACACAGTTATCTTATGTCTTTCAAATATCTCAATAAAATTATATCTGAAATGTATCATTTTTATACTTAAAAATATTCTTAAAAATAAACATAAAATTCTATATTAATAAATAGTAATATTTCTACCTATCAAAGTTATAGTTTGTGAAATATCTATAATTGAATAATTGTATTCAAATCCGTTATTAATATATGTTAATTATAAAAAAAATTTAAAAGTACAATAGTGAAAACCTGATGTTTCGAATTTATTCTACTATATTTTTGATATATTAAATAAACTTGTTAAATTTATATTAAAACATATTTAACGTTTTATTTCTTATATACTTTTTATATACTATTATAGTACAATAATAATATTTTATGAAATTGGCCAATCTAAAAAAAAATTTTATTTAAAATTTTTGATTATATTAAAATTGTTGATAATATAAACTTAGTTATCAATATTTTTTAGAGTAGTTTTGTAAATCATTTACTTTGTATAATCTTTTTTTTACAATAAAAATTTGACGGTTCATAAAAAGGTAAAATTGATTAATATATTATCAAATGAATATCTTACTGTTATAAATTTGAAAATTATTTTATACAATGAAGGAATATGGAATTCTAGTCACCCGGATTGTTAGAAGACCAAGGTAATTGGTTTAGACCGTACCACCGGTATAATGTTGAAAAAAAGAGGGGGGTGAGAGTTTAATACATCAATTCAGTATAAACGCAATTAGTTTTAGTGACTTTTATTTAAGGTTATGCTACAATTGAACATTGGTGTTACCGGTCATTGTGAGAATGGTTGAGTGACGATAGTATATCCCGAGCTACCGGACAGTATCGTCGTCCTCTTCCGCGGTCTGACCAGAGTCAAGTTACGGTGGGCGCACCATTAGCTGGCCAGCAATAAATAATATAAACAAATGAGTATACCTTGCACGAATTCTTGTAGACAAACATGTAGAAGTTTTCCTGGGTGTGACTTGCACTATTTCACTTTGACTTACTCAACAAGATTGATTTGTTTCGACATACGCTGCTCTTTATATATGGCTGCATAGATTTAGAGTTTACAATTCTGGGAAATTCTGTCAAATTGACGAAACCTGAGCTTTACTTAGTTCAAGAATCTTCTTTAGTTGCAATGCAGATAAATTCTAAGGCTTTCTTGGCAAAGGCTTTAACGTTTACAAAGAGATTTTTTCAACTTTTTAAATATTTGTATTTTTTAATTATTTTTAATTTTTTAATTGTACGAAATAAATGGATATTTCTAAATATTTTTACAATGTTGCTGATACTCTTAGTTTTATACGAAAATTGAAATTGTAATTAGAGAATTTATTAATTGGTGATCAAGAAACATTAACCATTTGAATTAATTATTGTGTAAAATTCGTTGTTAAATATATTAAAATATGTTTTATATATATATATATAATTTCTATTATGTAACATTTCCTTGTACTTTAGGGAATTATTCAAGGCTACATAAGAATAATCTTTAAATATTGAATTAGAAAATGAAATTGTTTTACTTGAAATTATCTAAAAAAAGTTTTATTTTATTATATAAAATTCATACATATAATCAGTAAAAACTAAATGAAATTTAAATTAATAAAAAATAACATACAATACTCTTAATTAATGTAATATTTTAGTTAATGTAATAATAGCTCTTAAATTTAAAATAAATAAATCTAGAATTCCTAAAATTATAAATAATGAATACAATTTATTTAATGAATCAATTAGTACGTATAGTTTTATTTAAAATGTGATGTATACTTCAAATGCTTGCGATTATATTTTTATATATAATGAACATTCTTGAAAAACACAAAGATATACAAATTTATTCATATTAATTTGTAATAAAAATAAATATAATATATATATATATATATATATATAAATATATATATCACAAGATAGAATCTTAATATGATCAATAAACGTTAATCTTTATATATAGAACATAAATGGGTCAATATTTTGAGAACAAAGTTCCTATTATGAATAAAATAATTTCGTATTATTGAAAAAATGTTGAATTTATGCTTTTTTATTACAATTTTTTCAATTATCTCTATAATATTTCAAAGATATATTCGGTAAAATAAAAAACTTAAGTTGAACTATTAAAATTAAAAAATTCTAATAATTCTTCATCAAATATATTATTCCATAGTTAGTGAAAAAATTTTATTGTAACACGTGTTGTAATTACATATAAATATTTATAAATGATGTTTTTTTATTTATTTCATCCCAATTTCTAAACTGCATTAGGTATAAATTATAATATTTAAAATTTTATATTTTAATATAATTAGATTTCTAATTACGTAGAACTAAAATAGTTACTCAATATATTTTAATATTATTCAGTTTGATATTATTAGTCTGTTGTACATGCATAATATAAAGATATAGAAAGTTAGTATAGTTTGTTAGTGTAGAAATAGCAACCACAAACAGTCGTATGCGCACGTAGAAAATTGTAATATGTAACAGGATTAGAAAGGGTGGAAGGCGTTGCAAAGCATCGTTCTATAGGGGATGATTTTAGGGGGGTGTAGACAAGTGGACCGAATAATATAGCTTGGTGAATGGACTTACTTTAGCATTCTGAGCTTTAATACAATGCACAAGGGATTACATTGAATTCGTAATTCTATCTTTAACGCTTCAATTGTCTGTTACTCGATAAAAATGATTTTTGTAAATCTGCTGAAATTGCAGAATGTCTTTGATGAAATTGAATTATTTTTAGTTTTGAGAGAAAATAATACAATTCTTAACTTCATTACTTTGATTTATTAAATAACAAATTTAGTAGATAACATTTTGAGCTTAGTTGATTACATTCAAAATACTATTGAGAAATTTTAATAGATATTCTTATATCTTTTAGATTTATATAAAATTATGTATGACCTATACTAAATAATAAATTATACAATGAAAATGTAATACATATTTTTTTAATATATAATTAGTCTTTTCAGTATAAAAATCATGATACATTATTAATTTTTTCTTTATTGTTGCAATAAAAACCAGCTTCTAAATTTGAAATCTAAAATCATTGTTATTTTATACTTTGAAAACAATATACAGTTATGAAGCTTTTTCTGAACACAAATTTTGTTTTGAAAAATTTTCTTTAAAGTTTTTCAAATGAATTTATTTCATTTTAAAAGAAAAAATTTTTAAATATCAAGTTTCTTGATTGTACTATAAAGATGCTTCTATGATAATATCTTTTTGTCTTTTCTCATTTGATAATCATTACTTGTTTACAGCATATTATATAATTATGTTATAATATTATATTGTATTCTTTTACCGCTTTTCTCGACTTGTCACTTTTTACACATTGTTTATAGCAATACATTCTATAAGTAATAGCTATTAATATCATAATTTTCACGTTGATGTTTCATTTTTTCTGGAAAAATTTTGAACCTTTTTATTATTTGAGTTAATAATAATTCATACTTCAAGACTAAAATGTATTTGCATTTGAAATGATAGTGGTGGCTCCAAAATTTAATTTAAGGTAGTAAATTAAAAAATTCTCATTGTTTCATATACCATTAAAAATATTTTATTATGATTATTATATATATATGTGTTCATCATAATCATCAAATATTTTTATCAATCACAATTATAGTTTAAACAATTTATAATTATGATAAGTTATATTATAATAACTATTTGTAAAACATTTTAGAAATCATAGAAATAGCTACTGAAATGCGTTTCTTTTTATTGGAAGAAACTTCATTGAAGCAATTTAGTATAAAAATAATTTTTTATAATTTTGATAAAATAATATTAAATAAAGGCATATAAGTTAAATGCTGTTTTTACAGTGCAAAATTGATTAGTAAAAGAGAATATTAAATAAGTGAAAGAGATTTAACAATAAAATTTTTTATACAAAAATTTCAATAATGATTTACGTAAATTAACTGATAAAATCTTTATTCATTCATTTGAAGCTTTTCTTAATATTACGTTTTATAAAGTATTAATAATTATGCAACTTTTCTGTTTGAAACATTTCTATTTTCAATAATGCAATAGTTAGTAATTTTTATTGTATAAAAAGAAAAAATAATTATTACGATCGGATAAGTCTAAAACAATCTAGTTCAAAGTTCATGTATAAAAATGGTTTGCCAACGTAAACTATTTAAAAATTATATGTTCTTCATTAATATGACGTGGTAATGAAAGTACAATCTATGATCAGATTCAAAAAGTAATATAAATTTTGAAGAGATAAAAAAATTACTGATTGCTATAATTTATGTAAGTAGCTGCAGCTATAAAATTATTACATTATAGTTATTAATTTGATAGCTCCTTCATTTTCCGTATTAAATTTTAAATTTTGTAAGAAACAACATTTTCATATCTATATTTAGTATTGAATATAATTTAATATATAACAATGTGTAAATATATTTAATATATATATTCAATATACAATTTAATATATAATATTTTCCATTATGTAGTATAAATAAATACATTAAATTTTTATATTAGAATTGAACACATTCAAATGTTTTAAAAATAAAATTTCACATATTTATATTCATATTTACATTTATTTACATATATTTAAATAAATTATCTTACAACTTTTTAAAATTAAGTAGACTAATCTTTTTTCAATATATTATTTTGAAAATTAATTTTTATAACATAATCAATTGAATAGTTAAAAACTTAATGTTTTTATTACCACTTCTATTGAATAATTTACTAAATTTGTATATTGCAAATTTATGATTATACGAAATTTTGCGACATTAATTGATATAATTATATTATTTGCTTTAATAATTTGTAAATAATTATAAATCTTACTATAATTATAAAATTACAGGGTCTAATCTCATTATTATTAAAATTTTCAAACATATCAGATATAACAACTTGAAAGAATATTAAATAGATCAAATTAAAAAGAAGAGACGAAAATAAGTAATTCTTTTTCACCTCCATCATAACATAAAGTACTTTAATAAAAAAAGTAAAAACAAAAATT